TTTGGAGTGGGTATTATGAATGTTGAGTGGGTATTTCATTTTCTGCTACCCACTGCTTTCAAATATGTGCATATTTCAGTGATTTTACTCACCTAAGTATTATGTCATTGAGTTTGATTACTAAGCAGGTATGTTCTGCCTTATGTCATACCTAATCAAAACCAACTTAAATATAATGGAAATGATTTCATACAAAATCACTCATCCTATACTGACAGTACAACACTTGTCCTATACTAACAGTACAACTTGATAGATAGCAATCAGTGTCTTTTTCATTACACAAGTGATTTTTATAGATATATTCCGCATGCATATGTTTTAAACTTTGTGTGTATCTAACATTTTAAATCTTTGTGTGTATCTAACATGTAATGCAACAATTATTTTTCAATGCGTAATTGGAAATTTTCTGTGCGTATTTTACCCAAATACGCAGCTTATCTGGGCCTCTGATTTTTGTCCTGAAACCATGTGGGGAATGAAACCTGAACCTTTGTCATGATGAGCAAATACTTCAACTACTGGACTACTGCCCCACACCTTAGTTTAATCCCTCAAACCAAAAAGTCAATAATGTAACATTCTGACAAATATTGTAAGTCCCAAAACTTTCAAAGTAAAATATAAATTCACCACATTTTAAATGTAGTATTTTTGTCTTTTTAACTGTCTGCTAAATTTTTCTACAATCGCCAGCTTCTGAAGGGATGGTGTAATTCCAGCTAGGCAACCATGCAAGTAGCAAAAGTAATATAAGTCCCCATGGTTCCTGGTGATCTACCTTCAGTTGGTGGCGATCTATAGCCTGTGTTTTATACTGTATTGTCTTCTTTAATTGGAATGTTTTAGCTTTGCTTGCTAGTTTTATATTCATATCTGTGATTCTCTGGTATTTTTACTGTCCATCGTCGCCAGGTTTTAATCTTCAAAATGTTTTCACTTTTTCTTGTATAGATTGTTTTCATCACGATATTAACTCACTCACTCTGACAAATATCATGACAGCCATGGCATTTCCTTATAGTTCAGAATACCCCAGCCTTGCTGTGATGAGCAAATACTTCAGCTGTTGTACTACAGCACCACACCTAGTCTGTCTCACAGTCCCTGAACAGCATTATTTTCCCTACTGCCAAGCCCTCTCTGCAGTGCTAAAGCCCTAAATAAAGCAAGTCTAGATTTCCTAAGGTTCTGAATCTCTGGTCTCACTGGGGCTCTTTTTCAGTTTAAATAGGGAGACTATATAACGGGGAGTGGTCACTCCTCAAGAAGCCCCTTAGCGTATGCCTCGGCTCGTCACGTGTCCAGTGTAGCCAATATGGCGGCCGCGTAGTTTTTAAGATAGAGTCCGGTTTATTTTCAACAGCAGCTGATTACATTCGCTGAGTGTTGTGACAACTGAAAACCTACATGTAGAAGATAAGTTACCTATTCTGTCACTTCATTTTAAGTCAAATAATTGTTATTAGTGTCAGTATTAGTACAGTAGATTTGTAGTAAAGTTTCAAGCCGTCATGTTGTAACTCACTGGCTTCAATTCTCGGTACACAGCGAAGAAAGACTAAATTCTATCGCTAAAAACTTCTTTCACATATTCGTTAAATTTTTAGAAGGGATTGCAAGTAATAGTGACAGTCTTATAACTAAAAAAATTTGTTAGGGTGTATTTGAGGTGTGTGAAAAATATGACATATCGCCTGATCTGCCATTGAAATACCACAGGGCGTTGTTTGAGTGTTTCTACTTATTGTTCTAAAACATCTTTCACATACACCTTTAATTTTTATGAGGGGAATATACCATCAGGTGAAAGGTGTTTGCAAGTAATAGTGATAGTTTTATAATTTGAAAAAAATTGTTTGGGTGTATTTGAGGTGTGTGCAAAATATGAAATATCGCCGATCTGTTCTGATCCGCCATTGATGCTTGTGATGCTTGAGTGTAATAGTTCTAAAACTTCTTTCTTTCTTGTTGATCTTAGTACATGTATTTGACAAAACTGGAAAGGTGTTTACAACGCTTTGTGATAGTTCTCAACTTTCTGTTTTTGAGGGGTGTGGACAGTGTCAGTTAACATTCTGTCAATGTCTATGCCATTCCAAATATGAAATGAGATATCTGAATTAATTACTAATGTAAAAAATGTCTCAAAGTAGATTTTCCAAAAAAGGACAGCTGATGTTAACACATGTGTTCTAGCGATAGTTTTGCGTTCTTTACCGGGTAATATGTTTGGGGAGGGATGGCCATGGTGTATCATTTATTCTTTCATTCATTCACGTATGTATTTCTTTCTTTTGTTCTTATTCTTTATTTCTTTCATTCATTCACATATAATTCTTGCTCTTAATTCATTCATTCATTCATTCATTCATTCACTGTAAAATTCCGACTGATACAATAAACTGGCTGAAGTACTGTTAAACGCAGCCGAAGTTGCGCAGAGAACGAACCAAGTCACTGCGTGTGTTGGAGCATGACGTAGTACAAATGGTAAAGAAAGCAAGGGAGTGACCTATCCCTGTTGTAGAGTATCCCTGGTTTAAATGGGCTTGTTTGTTACTATCAAAATTATATATACCGGTATTCAGAGACTAAGCATTAGTCTACACCACACCTTAAACCAAGGCCTCAACCCCAAAACAGTTTTTTAAAGTTAAAAAACTGCTTGGTCCTTGGTTTACATACAAAATGAACACAGAATTCCTGGAAGTACATGTACCGTCTACACAGACGCAGTGTTTAAAACTCCCAAAATTCCAAGCTAGACAGCCGGACAGGTAACTTAAAAAAATTACAAACTTGCCTGTCCGGTTTTCAACAATAAAAAACAAACGAAATCAGGTGTCTTTCAGTGGCATTTAGAAGTTGTACATTGATGTCCAAGATATTTTTATGGATTAAACTTCTTTTTAATTTCTCTCCCGACGTTTCGAGACCATTCCAGGTCCTTTCATACTGATGACCGGGTACCCATACTACCGGGTACCCATTCACTGATGGGTGATGAAGGGACCTGGAATGGTCTCGAAACGTCGTGAGAGAAATTAAAAAGAAGTTTAATCCATAAAAATATCTTGGAAAACAAAATCAGGTTAGTCAGGTCACTGTTTGTAGGCATCACAATGACCTAAATAGCACTAACAGGCAATGCACCGAGTTTAGGTAAACTGAAAGTACATGTGTTGTGATTGGTTGTCGTAACATGAACTGTCCAATCGTAAGTAGTTTAACATAATCATCATAATACCGTAACCACCTCAAACTGACGACAAGAGAACCTGTCTGATATTATGAAATATTTACTGTTAGGGGCAAAAATATCTACCTGACCACCGGGCAGGCTACTTTTGAAATTTGACCGTCTGAGATGAAAAAAGACCGTTCCTGACGGTCGGGCAGGCGAATTTTAAACGCTGACAGACACTGTCATCCATCTCTATTACCAGTCGCCTAAGCAATTACAACAATATCAGAATCAACAATAATTATAATAAGATCCAACCCCAGAACGCATCGAGTCAACACCTCAAAGCACTGATTCGGTCAATGAATCAGTGTGCAAATGATTTTAAATATTAGTGCCCTCAGGAGAATGCCACTATGTTATCTGCGAGTGATTACAATATTAAAACTGACATTAATTACCATCTGATACTACTGGGTACCCATTTACTGATGGGTGAACTTCAAAAGGAGAAAACGTGCCCTCAGCATTAAACCTGAGTTATCAGCAAGTTACTACAATTTTAAACTCACATTAATTATCTTGTACTACCGGGTACCCATTTACTGATGGGTGAACTTGTAAAAGGAGAAAACATGGGCCTTCAGTATACACCCTGAGTTATCTGTGAGTTACTACAATATTAAAACTCCCATTATTACCTCATACTACCGGGTACCCATTCACTGATGAGTGAACTTGCGAAAGGAGAAAACATGTGTGTTACACGTGGGCAGGATCATTCATTGCCACCCATGCATTTAATATAATTACCACCACATACTACCGGGGTACCCATTCACTGATGGGTGAACTTGTGAAAGGAGACAACATGTGTTACATGTGGGCAGGATCATTCATTGCCACTCATGCATTTAACATAATTACCACCTCATACTACCAGGTACCCATTCACTGATGGGTGAACTTGCGAAAGGAGAAACTATGTGAAACATGAGGGCAGGTTCATTTACTGCCACACATCCTTTTAGTGACACATATTAGACACACACATGTTTGATAAGAATATTTGCATATTCATGTGCACAAAGGTCAGTGTTGGGTAACTGGTAGGAAATAACAATATGGATTTGAGAAGCTGGCAGTACATACAAGTTTGCTGTACACAGGTACATATACAAATAGGTATATGTATCCAGTCAGCACCTAGTGATAATGCTTCTTCTGTCGTGCCCAGGAGCACCAAGCATAACCCTAAGAATGAGCCCTTCATTTTATTTTTTGTCTCTGGATCAAGGTTTATACATCCATGATCACATGACATGGACTGAGTTGCATATAAACACAACAGTCATTTATGGGTGAAATAGTTGGAAAGCTCATTTAGGATGGATGACAGCCATTGTACAATAAGAAGGCGATTAAACATATGGGATAAACATTATGACTAATGAAAATCAAGTTATTCTGGACATTATTATGGCTACAATACAGTTAGCCTTGGTTGTCCATAATGAGTCAGTAAAAGAAAATGATCCATGAAGATTCTGTTTAGAATTGGTCTTAAGCTAACCCTGCTTGTCGTAAGAGGCAACCCGGAGCTTCACAGATTTGTCTTAAAGTCAGTCATGCTGGTGATCATACTTCAGAAGCCTATTAAACACCACCCAACCACACAGAAACCTTCAAAGCATCTAAGTCCCTTTAGTGACCTCTTTCGTCAAGCATGGGTTGCTGAAGACCAATTCTAAGCTTGATCTCCATAGGAAACATGTATTAACCACACAGAAAACTTAAAGACCAAAGACATTTAAGCATGCATTTCAACATCACCTTTCCAGTGTCGGTACATTTCGTCATCCGAGTCACCAACAGCATCATGATGGACCATCGCCCGTGTGAAGATCCTTCTTCTGGACCTACTGTCCACAGAGCTTGCTGAAGTCTGACGCTGTACTGCACCGACCCTCCTGACTGTCTGGTTCCGAGACATATGATCTTTCGATGCGACACCGTCCCGAGGTGTCTGGTTCGGAGACACATGATCCCTTGATGAGACAGGATCTCTGGATATCTGGTGATCCCTTGATGTGTGAGAATCTGTGTGAGGTGGAGGTCTCTTTGGTGTGTGAGGATCTGTGTGAGAAATATGATCTTGTGATGACTCTTTCATAATTTGACCTCTAGACATCTGATGATCTCTTGTCATAACAGGATCTCTTGTTGAATGATTTCTCATGGCACCTCTGTGATCTCTGTGAGGTGCTTCTCGGTGAAGTTCTGCATCTCTGGAAGCCTGATAGTTTCCATGCTCTTGCTCATCTCTACAAATCTGGAAATCTCTGTGAGATTCTCTTAAATTCTTGGACTCCCTGAATGTTCCTGAATCTTTGGACACCTGGAGACTTTTGTCAGTTTCTCTTGAGGCCTGGGAATCCCCAGCATTTCTAGAATGATCTCTAGATGACTGAGAATCTCTGTGTCCTGCATCTCTAGAATGATCTCTAGAAGACTGAAAGTCTCTGTGTCTTGTCTCTCTAGAATGATCTCTAGAAGACTGAGAATCTCTGTGTCCTGCATCTCCAGAATGATTTCTAGAAGACTGAAAGTCTCTGTGTCTTGTCTCTCTAGAATGATCTCTAGATGACTGAGAATCTCTGTGTCCAGTATCTATAGAATGATCTCTAGAAGACTGAAAGTCTCTGTGTCTTGTCTCTCTAGAATGATCTCTAGATGACTGAGAATCTCTGTGTCCAGTATCTCTAGAATGATCTCTAGAAGACTGAAAGTCTCTGTGTCTTGTCTCTCTGGAATGATCTCTAGATGACTGAGAATCTCTGTGTCCAGCATCTCTAGAATGATCTCTAGAAGACTGAGAATCTCTGTGTCCTGTATTTCTAGAAGACTGATACTCTGTGTGTCCAGCATCTATTGAATGATCTCTAGATCGACAATCTCTGTGTCCTGCATCTCTAGAAGCCTGAGAATCCCTGAGTCCTGCATCTTGAGAAGACTGATAATCACTGCATCCTCCTGAATCTCTTGATGTGAGAGACTCTTGATGACTTAAAGCATCTCTTGACATCATGGAATCATTCATAACATGATCTCTTGACAACTGAGAATTAGTCATGGAATCGCTCATTGCCTGAGAGCTCCTGGACATGTCTTTAGAAGTCTGAGCATCTTTGGATGGTCCACCACTAAGTGAGGGCACCTGCTTCAGACCATCCCTTGAGTCTCCTGAAGGCTGACTGTGAGTCATGGATCCTCTTGAGGCTGTAGATGATTGTTTTGTGCTTGAGGATCCAGTGGAGTTAGCAGAGCCTTGGTTTGGGCTCATGGAGCTTATGGATCCTTGTCTCTGCATTGGAGATCCATGACTTGTGGAGCCAGTGGAGTTCACAGCTGATTGATTGATATCCATGTTCAGAATTTAGCTCAAGACAACAAGACAATTCTTGACACCACAACAGCCAACGATGCAAGATACTTGCTACAAGTCCTGAAATTTTTCCACTGTAGTCTTCGCCTCTTATTAAACAGACACAAAAAGTTGCTTTAAAATGCCAAAAATCACTCAAATATCAGGCAGGGGGTGTCTATACATCACATCCATTAACCTTTTCACACTGTCTATTCTCAGATTATCTCAGCAAATGTCAGCTTTTGAAATAATTCGAAGTCATTTCTTATTGGCTGTAACCTTTGAATTGCATTCAAATATATTCTCAGCAAATATCAGGACTTAGGATAAGATGTAACATCCAATTTTCTTTAATCCATGTTCTGCCGACGAGACATCTATATTTGGTTAACATTAAAGGTTAACACTATAATCAGAATGACTCTTCAGTTGGTGTAGCTCAAGGGCTATCTGTGAAAATGGGTATCACTGTTGCAGTAATTCTGGTACTTCAGGGGTTAATCTTCACAACTTTCGTCATGAGGGCCCAATGTGTATGGATTGTATTTGTCAGTGATTTCCATTACTGTGTACAGCAGGACAAGGTATTCCTGGCCTGTCCTGGAGCACAGCACATTGTCAGGTTTACACTATTTACACAAATTATGAGATGTTGCTGGAAAGTAGCACCTGGGGTCTGAATCCCATTCAGTTCAGTCAATTATTCCTGTCAGAAGTAATCACAGCGGGAATCGGTTGACTGTCACAAGCAGGGTCACCGAGGAGTTCGCTATTCAGATACGAGGTTTCGGGCATAGATCATAATGCCAGGCTGTTGTTAGAACGTTAGTACATGCTGTAGCACATCGTATGGATCCGCGCCACTTATCCTTGTTTGTGCTACTCCAAGAATGAGGAAGCTATAGTTGATATTAATATTCCAACCAATTGTCTTGTCACAAGTAATCATCACAGATTCTGTTGTTCTGGGCAACAGAGGTCATTGAGGAGGTCTATAGTCTGATTTGTGGTGACAATGAGATCATATGGTGAATATCATCATTATCATCCTATATGGTGAATATCATCATTATCATCCTGCATTAGAATGTCCTCAGATGATGACCTTATTCACTGACGTTAAAGCATGAATGAAGTCACTTAAGATACTCCACTGTTCACTGGATATTTCTGATGCCTCAACTCCAAAGGCTAACATCTGTTCTGGACAAAGTTACTGTCTAAATATGCACTATCACAAGGTTGGACAAGTTTTGTCTCATTTGTGTCCATATTACAAATATTACCATCACAAACCACCAATGTCCAAAAATACTTTCTTCATTGGATTGTCTTCAATTTATTACAGATGGCCTCTGTATCTGAGTTTGTCTTGGAAAATTGTGACAGTCCACAAACTTACACACTTAAAAAACACTGCACATGTTGAAAATCTATTATATCAGGATTTGATAAAGTCTTTACCTGAGCTTGTCTTGAATAATTGTGATTGTATAAGATTGGACAAAATCTATACATCTGGACTTTGTTCCATAAGCTCACATGTTATTATTGTTGACTTGTTCGAGTAATCAGGCATGACAGAACACAGGACTCACACATTACACTGTACACTACTGACTCCTGTTTACATCAGAGGTGTAACTTCTTCATCAGATGATAACAATTGCAAAAGGACCTTGAAAGCCTCCTGGACTGACAATATCAGAATGCTTTGTTCACAACAGATGAGGGACTTCTTCGTCAGATGAACACAGGTTAACACAGTTGCAACAGGACCTTGAAATCCTTCCTGGACTGAAAATACCTGAGCATCTTGTCAAATATTCCACTGCTTTTCTTTTCATTCATGAATAAACAATGAAGTACATGACTCTTGGCAAAGTCTAATCCTGCTGTCATTTAACCTCAGAATCAGAAGTTAAAGATTATAAAAAGATTACAATATCCATCAATACATCAATGAGTCCACAGGCCCCATGCTAGGAGATTCCCTCTTCTACAATTCGTCACAAATTCCAAAGAAAAAACATCAACACTGAGGCATTCTAGATAAAGTGAACCTTTTGAAAAATTAACTTGAAAATCTCATTATCACCACCATAAAAATAGAGGACTTCGTTCATACCAAGCTCTCGGGAAAGAAAAATGGCACAGGATAATGCCAAATTATTTGTCCAGTTTTCCAATTATACGCTCATTAGGTCATCCAGGGGTATCCACTCTAACCATCTGTGAGTCGGTGATCACTAAAAGTGGGTAATCCAATTTCGCGGGTTTATCTCAAACAAGTCATTCATAACTCACTGATCCTGGTCATAAAGACAGAATACTCGGTAGAAGAACAAGCATCACTTGTTGACTGTCATCAAACAGACCCAGCAATAGCTAACACAGCATCATCCCTCCCACACAACTCGCTTCATCGCCGACATCCACAGAGTTTTGGCATCGCCGAGATTACCACTGTGTTATAATCAAATTGGATGCACAAAGGCAGAGGAGCACTTCTAGGCCAGTTATCATTAATCACGTCAAACATCCAGAGCCGGCTCCGTCAATTCCTGGTAGACAGTAGACCAGAACCGTCACACAAAATGTCCACAAACTGTCTGTAACGCGGACCGATCCCACACAGATCCTTCACATGAAGCATCACTTATCATCAAGCTGTTTGTTGGGGCTGGCATTTAGCATCGGAAAGTTAACATGAAAACTGTCCTTCTACATATCCTCTTTAGAGTCACTCCAGAATAACACTTGCTGCTCATCACGGAAACATAGCAATCTGTAATCAATACATTGGTGAGAAGACATTAACCTACTCGGACAGTAAATACCATAACATGCCTGGATGGAAATGAACGGGGTATAATACGATTAGATATTATCATAAACTGATTATATAAAAATGTAAAATAATTTCAGATGTAATAGACTTGTATCATAGTTATCGACATTGAAGTAGTAAAAAAATAATAACTAAAGTAAAATTTATTAACATGTTAAAAAGATTTATTCCATAAAAATTCTAACAGGATGTAATTTCCTTGACCTTACTGAACGGGGTAAAATATGATTGATATCATTCATAAACTGATTATATAAAAATGTAAAATAATTTCAGATGTAATAGACTTGCATCATAGTTATAGACATTGAACTTGTAAAAAGTAAAACCTATAAAGTACTGAAAAATGATTTCTTATTTGATAAAAATTCTTATAGGATATAATGTCCTAGACCTAACTGAACGGGGCATAATATTGATATCATTCATAAACTGATTACATAAAAAAAATTAAAATAATTTCAGCTCATAATTTCTCTTATTGTTACGAAAATTGAAGTAGGAAAAAAAGATGAGCTTAAGTAAAATCTATTAAAATATTTTCAAAAGATATTTCTTATTGGATAAAGTGAGTGAGTGAGTTTAGTTTTACTCCACAATCAGCAATATTCCAGCTATGTGGCAGCGGTCTGTAAATAATCGAGTCTGGACCAGACAATCCAGTGATCAACAACATGAGCAACAATCTACGCAATTAGGATACGATGACATGTGTCAACCAAGTCAGCGAGCCTGACCACCAGATCCCGTTAGTCGTCTCTTACGACAAGCATGGGTTACTGAAGATCAGTTCTAACCCGGATCTTACTGGATAAAACTGCTTATGAGATATAATTTTGTTTATGTATGACAAGGTAGCATCGTTCCCAAACTAACAATTACATTTGGAAGTTTGAATGATGGCTTCTTAAATAATACTTGAGTTGGTTGATTCAGTTTGTTGAAACTAAACAGAAATGCTTATTCAACAGAAAACAAGAAATGATTTACAAGAAAGCAAATCATGTTTGCAATTTCAGTCATATATTGAGATACATTGGTTAAACTTTGCGAATCTTATGCCAAATCTGTTCTGGTATTAAATTGTATCTATATGGCTGTTACTTTTTAATTATGCTGAAAAAATATGAATGATTGTTTCAAAACAGCGAAAGAAAAATCATATTTTGTTAAGAAGTTTCTCATACACTATGTCATACTTAGACACCAGACATAACTTTCATTGATTTGACAATTGAAAGTGGTGATAAAATACAAAAGTGGTTTAAAAATGTTTTTATTGACATTTGCTTTTTGAAGTTTCTGTATAAATATTTTATTTTAATCTACATTATATAACCATGATACAATAATGATAAGATAACATCACCAACCCCCCCAACCCCCACCTCCACTACTACCACCACCACCACCACCACCACACACACACAAAAAGAAAAGACAATAAAAAAAAACTTGTCGAGTACTTTTATTGATTTGACAATTGAATATGGTAAGAATTTTCAAAAGTAGTTTAAAAAGATGCTTTTTTGGTATTTACCCTGTACAACTTCTTTTAAATATTCTACATTTATCTACATTCTATCAACCATGATGATAAAATTAAGTTTTAATTCCTTAAAATACACCCCCCCCAAAAAAAAAATAAAAAAAAAAAATAAATAATAATAATACATAAATACTATAATAATAATACAATTAAAAAAATGGTGACGTATTATGAATGTCAGCAACTTTCAATAACAATTTAAAGTCCCCACTTTATGGTTTCTGAAGGTTGTTTGGTGGGAGAGGGTGAAGGTCACCTGAGTATCCCTTTCTCTGAAAGTGTGTACAAATACCATCCGTCAGTGAGCGAGAGACCTTCACATTCATCTGGTAATCACAAATCAATCAGTATCACACACACCAAACTCGTCTCCTTTTATGCCATAAAAAAAACCCTCCGAAACTGTACCGTTTAATGAAGGCAATCATGCCGTTAGCCTCTGTTCAATAATTGAATCGTGTTCCTACAATGGGCAATATGGCTTGGAACCGCGATGGGCCGAAGAATACCAGTGTCTTGTCGGACCAGATGTTGGCGATCTCACTCAAAGTGGGTCAACCAGAATCAGCTGACTGGTCGGATGTTCAAGCTACGTCTTTG